GCCTTCTGCTTTGAATATTTCTTTTATATCGCCTTGTCGCCTTGGCTGCAAAATTCTTCTATATGTTAACTCTTTTATAGTTTTATTGTATGCCGCCCAGAGTCACTTTTTCATGAGATGGGCAGCCATACAGATTTGAGAAATAAATAAATTAAAATGTCTCCATCAAAGTCATCTTCCTGATTCTCGACACCACGTCCTTAACACACATACACATCCCTGGTTGGTTGGTTGGTCTGTCCATCCGTCCATCTGTCCATCAAATTTATATGGCTGCCCATCTCACGAAAAAGTGACTCTGGGTGGCGTACAATAAAACTAAAACAGTTAACTTATTAAAAAAATTATTATTAAAAAAAATTGAAAATCACAAAAGACTAAGAAAGGACAGCAGTCGTTAACAGCAATGGAGCCACCTCAGTACCTCGCCAGTCCCCTGGAGCCCCCAAGCCTGATGGCATAACCAGGTTTTGAGGGACTTCTGGAAAATTAGCAGGGATGGAGCCAGCCCTGCTTTGGGAGCAGGCGGGGGGCGGGGTAGGATGTTCTATAAGGCAGGTGCCACGGCAGAGAAGACCCGCCCAGTGTAGCTCCCCAGCAGACGGGACCCATAGCATGCCTCTTCTGCCAGATCTTAACACACACACACTCACACACACACACACACACACTTCACTGGTTGTCCTGCTGAGTGTGGCGTCCCTCTCTCCCAGCTGTAGGAAGGAAGAAGAAGCAGCGTCATGGAGAAATGGTCATCCCCCCTCGTTCCCTCTTTGACCGTGCCACTCCGGGGATGCTGAAAATGCGACGGGAGGGCAAGGAGCAGAAGAAGAACCTCCTCCTCAAGCAGCAGACCCCATTCGCCAAGCCCCTGCCCACCCTTGTCAAGCCAGCTGCGGAGGCTGGCCAGGACAATCCTGAGTGGCTGATCAGCGAAGACTGGGCTCTCCTCCAGGTGTGGGGTGGTCTACCAAGGGGTGGTCTTCTAAACTAGCCGAAGAGCATCTCTCTACTGCCGACCAAATATGACCCCTTCCTTGCCATCGAGCCATTGGGCATTAGGTGTCCTCTTTGCACCTCTCTTAAGAGAAGGTGATTTTCAGGAAAGTCTCAGCTGAGAATCAGCTAAGGAACCTCTTTTGTTTCTTCTGTAGAACTGTCCCCCCCCCCCCCCCCCCCCCCACACTCACACACACTTTTGTAGCACAGTGGGATCTTCTGCTTTTTACTCTTGCAGTTCTTGAGTAAAACAATTGCTGTTTTATTGCCCGCCATTCCCTGGAAGGAAGACAGTTTTTTGGTGGTTGCAAGGCACAAACAGGGCCATTTTTAAAAGAAGTCACAAGAATAGAAATCCAGAAGAGTAAAATGTGGTAGGTTCCCACGGCCTAAAGCTTGTGAAATAAAATGGAAAGGTCTTGGCTGAGTGCCATCGGAGCTTAGGAGCGGGCATCAGGCATGTTTCCCGGTTGAAGAGACATTTTTTCCTAATCCCCACTCAGGTGACAGAGGCTTCTGTGGGGACGTGCCCAAAGGTTACCACAGCACATAAGGAAATGAACACGCTGCCCTTAGGGGCTGCTCAGAGGCCGTAGAAGCCATGCCAGGCTGACCCCAGTTTGGAAGGCTCCTCTTTCCCCACAGGAGAAAACAGTCACCGCTTTATCTACAGAGTAAAGGGCGATTAGCTAGATTGGTTTCCTCAGGACGAGCAGTGTCGTGGTCACTTGTGACCCATTTCCTTGGCGTCTCAATATTCTAGTCTTCTGAGGCCTGCCCCGGTTTTGTCCTGGGATGCTTCTGGAACAGTCCCACGCCTCTTTCTCTTTTTCTGTAGAGAGAGAGAGTGTATTTCGGGGGGCTCCCCCAGCATCTGTCTGTGTGCTTGCTAATAGACTTTGGCCTTCTCCCAGACATCACTGGCAGTACAGCGATCAAAAGCCGCGTCCCGGCTGACGCCTTCCCCTCGGTCTCTCCGCCTCCACTTTAGGCCGTCAAGCAGCTGCTGGAGCTCCCGCTCAACCTGGCCATCATGTCCCCCGCCCACACGCCCAACTGGGACCTCGTGAGCGACGTGGTGAACTCCTGCAGCCGGGTTTACCGCTCCCCAAAACAGTGCCGCAACCGCTACGAAAACGTCGTCATCCCCCGCGAAGAAGGGAAGGTGGGTGCCAGTCCAAGCGGTGACGCTGCCCTGCGCCCTCTGCCAAACGGGCAGCGCGCGGGGCTCCCAGTGTTGTTCAAGGCGGCTCCGCCTTTGTTACCGTGTGTGTGATGGTTTGGTGTGGCGCTTTTTCCTTTAAAAAAAAAATTATTATTATTATTATTTTGCTTATTAAAAAACTGCCAAGGTGCTTCAGAGACCGCCCGGCCGCCCTGTGAGCTAGGTTCACCCTAATGCCTCTTCGACTGACGGGGAGTGAGAGCGAGACACCGTAGCTTGTCCAAGGCTCCCAGCATGCTCCCCGCTTCCTTTTTGGGGTCAGTCAGGGATGATCCCCAGGCCTTGCGCCCCTCCTTTGTCCACCGGCTCCACTAGAGAATTCTTTTTTTGTGTCGCTAATCTACTCCCCAAACCCCTCGCAGAAAGTCAAACTTTGCTTCTTATTTTACAGCTTATGTATGAAGCGACCCCTAAGAAGAAGACAAAAAGCATTTATAAGGTGTGCACTTATAAATTGTTGTTCCAATGCAGACAGTCTGATATCTTAAGCATCAGCGGAGGCGGGACCCAACCTGAAGTAGGAGCTCCACATTCGAGTCCCGATTCGGAAAGCCGAATCGGCCAATTCAAAATCTTCGCATTTATTCCGCGTCTGGCGCAGTAGATCTGTGGTTGCGGTGCCCGTTGTCTCCAGCGTGTGGCTTAGCGATTTCCTCACCCTGAATCACTTTAGCCAGTTTGAATTCCATTTTTTTTTTAATTATTGTTAAAAATAAATAAATAAAATCCATCCGCCTCCCAGAAATGCCACCTCATTCCTCATGATTTAGTCCTTTTTTTTTTTTTTTTAATTTTTTGGTTTGAATTAAAACAATTTTGGTTCCTAGCTTTTTTTTTCTTTTTTTTTTTTTTTACTTTTCATTTTGAAATCTGATTGCTTTGCAGAACTTTAATGAATTAATCCCTGCAACACCCCATCAGGTAATGTATCATCTCCCCCCTCTTCAAATTACCCCTGCAGAATTTGAACAGTGCAATAGCTATATTATTACTAGCTGTAGTGGTCCTTCTGAGTGGTTCTCTGCAACTTGGATTCCCCCCCCCCACTTAAGGGGGCGAGAATGGTGCCTCGGGACAAAGCGAGCTCTGTCTCCGTGCAGAAATCGCAAGCTCTTTTTTAGGGGGAAAAAAAAAAAATAAGGT